TTGGATGCTGTGAGCCTACTGGGCATGGGCTGTGTGAGCAGACGCTTTTATCATCTGGCCAGCGACAAGTAAGGAGAACCCCAGATCTCTTTGTAAAGTTTGAAGACAGTTTGATAGACAATATCAAAAATAGCAATAACATTTTAAGCAGTAAAGAAATTTTTTTGAGAGAGAGTTTTGCTGTAGAGCTCATGTGCTTGCCGAGAGACAGAGAGAGACAGAGAGACAAAAAGTGAGAACTCACCCTCCAGGGGGATGGCCATGCCGTAATCCCTGCTCCTCTGTTCTCCTCTTAGGATTTTGGGCATGCATGTACATATGCCTGGTGTAAGCTTTAAGTGACCAGGGCCGAAACTCAAACTGTGGTTGACTACGTGAGAGTCCAGCGATGTAACCATTATGCCACCTGTTGATCCTAGCATTTAAAAATTTTTAAGAGAATTACTATTGAGAATACTTTCAGACATAAATATAAATAATATAGCAAATGCTTTTAAGTAGTCTTGTGATATTTTCAGTGATCTTTATGTATATGTATTTCAAGAAAGGAATATATTTTGCATGTACCCAAAAAAGATCAATTTTATTTGTTTTATTTTATTTCAAGTTCTTTTATACACTCAGTCACATTATTTAGCTTGCAAAGTGAATATTCCAACATGTGTACATTTCTCACCAGTTCAGTTGATAATACTATAAAGTTGTCTTCAATAGATAATATCTCTTTTCTTTGTCCCATTAATGCTTTGCCTCTCTATTTTTCTCCTTAATGTCCTTCCTCTGTGTCTGTTGGAGAAGGCTCTTCATATCTGGCAGCCAAGGGGCTTGGCTCGTTCAGCCTGGATTAGGACCACAGTCTCATCCACATTGAGCAGCACTGCAGGAACCCTCCTGCAGTAACTGGCCCTGTTGGCCTCGGGCAGACCCTAGTGAAAGAGGAGGAAGGGGCTGAGTCAAACAGCCTTATGGATTCCTCCCAAACTTGCCAATCAAGTGCACTTGCTCAGTGAGGCGAGTAAGGGAGGACAGAGGCCAAAGGTATCCTCACCTGGAGGCTTGCTTCTGGAAATGGAGAGCGGAGCAGGTGCAGCCCACTGAACTGGGCTCACAGGGCATCTAGGAATAAAGGCGGAAACCTCTGACTCTGTTCTGTCACTGTGAGCTTTGCCTACAACTTGGGATTTTTCTTAGGGGAAAGGAAGGTGATGGAATCCTCTTGGCTTCTAGTGAAAAAATTTTGGTCCACAACTGAACATCTTTACTTTTTAGGCTCCTATTTAATTCAGATTCAAAAGATCAGACAAGTATCGGTCCTACATAGAACCCATATATCAACATTAGCAAACATGTCCGAGAATGCAGATTTTAGCTGGTGGAATTGTTTAGTAGGTAAGGAGATGGAAAATGACAGAGGGAAGGCTGTGATGCTGTACAGTTTTAGATATGGTGGGGAAGAAGCACGGCCTGGCATGGTGGTTCTCCAAGCCAGCCTGCATCAGGGCCAGCAGAGGAAGTTTTAACACTGTGGGTCCCTAGGCTGTGTTTTGGAGGTTGTAATTCAGTGCTCTGGAATCTGTATTTTTGAAGTTTCTCTTTGTCATGCTAATGAAGTCAGTTTCCAAAATGACTAATCTAGTGTACCTTTGATATTAAGTAAGAGAATTGCTTAAGTAAGATGTTCAAAGCAAGCCCTCAGGTGTCATTAAAGCTGTCCTCCACTGTTCTCATACTGAGAAGGGACATATACCATTCCCTGGTTGGCAAGGTTGGCTTTTCTTATTTTTTAATTTAAAAAGATGTTCCCTGTATGGGAATATCTGTCTGCCTATCTTTCTATCTCAATACATATGCACTCATAAATGCATACCTACACACAAAAAAACACGTCAGTGTTTCTCTTTGTCTTGCTTGGAAAAAAGTTTTGCTTTTTGGAGACTGTTAAAAGCATCAAACTTAACATTTTTATTTTATAAATAATCAAGGGAAACAATTCAGTACTTTAATTCTATGATGTAAAACATTTTATTTAGGCTTCACTTAATGGTACATAGGATAATGTGTATGAACATAGTTCAAAGCACAAGTATGGGCGTACTTACGGTTACTTAATGTGCAGAGCTTACAGTCCGATTCTTCTCCCCATGGCAGTGTTGGTTTCTGTAGTTCATGAGTGCTAGAGTGTGTGAGAAAAGTAGTTTAGTCAGTGCTGATGTGAGAAATTGGAGATCTCACAAAGGTCTTGGTAAAGCAAAGGATCATATGTAAGTGAGGCGATGAGTAAAATGAATTCAAAGAAAACGTGAGTAAGTTTATATGCAAAGGGAGTTTTAAAAGTGTCCATTCAAGGGATTTTGATGAAACAGGCTCCGATTTATCTTAATATACTCAATCATCACTTTGCTTCCCTGAAAGTCCAGAAATTTTTGAACTGGAAACATGAATACTTTACTACAAAAGTTTGGTGTGAAGTGATTTGGTGAAGTGAGAAAAGGCTTGAGAATCCCATGTGAAAAAGGGGTGTTAGCAGGGGTTCAACTCTGAGTTTCTGTTAGTCGGGAAGTCCACGCAGCAGCTGAGTCAAGGAGATATGTTCCCGAGCTGCACTCTGGAGGAAGAGTCCTTTCCTCTGGCAGTTAGTGAGGGCTTATTCCCCTCTGGATGTCTGTGGTCCGTGGTGTCTCCGCTGGGCCGTGGTGTCTCCACTGGGCCGTCTCCTTCTGGGAAGTTATTTCCTCCAGGGGTCCTTGGTTGTTGCTGTTTCACCTCATGATGTTCTTCATAGAGAAGTGGAGATACAAATTGCAGATTATTGCATTTTATTCATGTAAAACTCACCTTCCTGATTAGGAAGTGAATTCCTGCCTC